AGAGGGGAACCCGGGCAGATCCTTTTCCCCTGGAACTCCAGAGGTTTCTGAAGCACAAGTTATTAGTGCAGCAGCAAACTATAGCTTTTCTCATTWAATGAAAGCAATCCTCCACACTTCCACCCTGTTTTCTGCCTCAAGTCAAAGCAACAAAACCCTTGAAACTCTGCAATTTGCACCAACAGCTCGGAATTACACATAACCATCAATGAAAGCTGCCCTTCCCAGCCCTGCCTGTGAGCCTGTGCCTACAGGACACCCACACAGTCCTTCTGAAAAGCAAAGCCTTTCTGCTGAGATGAGAAAACAAAAACCTAAGTCATCACACAATCACACACACACTAGCTCAGTGTCAGCACTAAACTGTGCACAGGAGGCTTTGGAGAGGTGCTAGAGGTGCTCAGGAGCTGCAGTTCTGCCCTCCCTGAGATGCACAATGAGATTTCAGCTTTTAAGCGATGCCTGCTCCTCACAACCCTTTGCTCACCTTATCTCTCTAATGGAAATTCTGGCACCACAACTCTCCTCACTTAGGTACAAACAGCAAATGTCACCAAGCCCTTCAGGCTGGGCAGGCAGGTGACATAAATAACCAAGGCTCTCTCTGCGCTCAATGTGTGTGTCCACTGAGAGGAAAGCGCTCACTGATGTGATGGGGAAAGGCACGTGCCAGCAGAAAAACAGGAGTCAGCCTRTTTATTGTCAAAGCAGATTGCACTTTAGGACATCCTTCTTCAGGACCAAGTTCCCAGGTTTATTTTATAAAGATAGAATACATAAAAAATAAGAAAAAAAAAAATAGAGGACTCAGCCCATACCTTCGTGCTACACGATGCAGAAGGCAGAGGCAGTGGGTGTGGCAACTGCCCTTCCTCTACGAAAGCAGGAAATATTAAACCTAAATTGGTTACACGCACAGATGACCACAAGTTTTGAACAACTTGCAGTCACCCAGCCAACCGTGCAGGGATGAGTGGAGCAGAAGATGGGATCAGCCATGCTCCCTTTGGCACCAGCAAGAATCCCTGCATCCTTGGCACCAGGGGCACCCYSAAACTGTGGGATGCAGTGATGCTCCCCAGACCCYTGGCACCAGCGGGATCCCGGTACCRCCGGCTGCAGCGAGAGGCAGCAGCAAGKGACAGCCGGGCCCGCTCACCGATCTGCCCGATGAACTCCACTTTGATGCCCTGGTGCTCCAGCCGCTTGTTGGGGTTCTTGAGGGTGAGCACCACCCGGCCCGACACGGTCTCGCCGTCGTAGAAGAGGAAGTATTTCTCCTTCTTGCCTTCCTCCGTCTTGTGCTCCACCCGCCGCCGGCTCTCGGCGTCGCTCAGCACCAGCTCCAGCTCCGCGCTCTG